AAAAAAAAAAAAAAAAAAAAAACACTTTAAAAGGAGCAGAGCTGAAGTAGTTTTTGAAAACTGTATTTTTGCCTTTTGAATTCTTTTTAAGTTCTAAGTTAAATTGATCCTGAAATGAGGCCATTTCCTGTTTCTCAGATAAACCAGTATTTTCAGTGGTCTGTATCTTCATGGACCCTGGTGGTTATAATATTGGGAACTTTAACCACAGATTTGTCGATGTTTCTTTTAAAGTAAAGTAGTATTTTTTTTTTTTTTGTCTTTTTCCGTGTCCGGCAACGGATCGCAACCCTCAGTGTCGCCCCCGTACTGGACCGGGGACCGGCAACGGGATTGCAACCCTCGGCGTTGCTCCCGCGCCTCGCTCAGCCAGTGAGCGGGAACCGGTCTGTATGTGGGATCCGAACCCTCAGGCGGGAGCGCCGCCGCGCTTCCCAAGCGGCGCACTATCCAGTGCGCCACCGGGCTGGCCCCTAAAGTAAAGTAGTATTTATATAGAAAGTCTGTAAGTTGGACTTTCAACATCCAACTAATATTTAGGGTACAAGTAGCTTGTTCTTATGAATCCTTTCTGTAAACTGATTAGTCAATTCTTTAATTACTTTTCCTGAAAATACAGATATTTCACTTTAGTTTTGCTTAATGAAGCAAACCTGTCTGGTTCTAAAAATATAGGCACAAGTGTAATATAAATAGAATAATAATCTGACACATAGCTGTGTGTCAGATATATTTTCATAGTGCCACTGTGTGTGCTCTTTCTTTGCTTTACATATATTTGTAATGGTGAGGGGGAAGATATGAATGATGCAAGATATAATTATTAAACACCATTGCATTACATTAATAGAAAGGATATAAAGCAGAACTTCCCAGAACATTTTTTATTATTTATATTTTTTAATTAATTAGTGAATTTAGTTTTTATGTATGTTTTTTTATTTTTTAAGTTTTTTAAAAAGATGACTGGTAAGGGGATCTTAACCCTTGGCTTGGTGTTGTCAGCACCACGCTCAGCCAGTGAGCGAACCGGCCATCCCTATATAGGATCCGAACCCGTGGCCTTGGTGTTATCAGCACCACACTCTCCCGAGTGAGCCACGGGCCGGCCCCTAGCAGAACAGTTTTTAAATCCTCAAATACAAATAAACTCAAATATAAAAATACTCTAGGGCTGGCTGATTAGTTCAGTTGGTTAGAGTGCAGCCTTATAACATGAAGGTCACAGGTTCAAATTCCCGTACTGTCCAGGTGCAAACAAACTAACCAGACAAGGCCAGAGAGCCAATGCACACCAAAAGATACATCTCACAATTTTTTTTTTTTTTTTTTTTTTTTTTTAAGAAGATGACCGGTAAGGGGATCTTAACCCTTGACTTGGTGTTGTCAGCACCACGCTCAGCCAGTGAGCGAACCGGCCATCCCTATGTGGGATCCGAACCCGGGTCCTTGGTGTTATCAGCACCGCACTCTCCCGAGTGAGCCACGGGCTGGCCCACATCTCACAATTAATACCAATTATTCTTGTGTATTTCTTGCCTCAGGATACCTTTTATCAGAAGCTCTCTTTTAGTGCTATGACCTGTTAATGCATGCTCTTTCATAGGGTTGATATACAGGGCAGTATAGCTGAAGCTGGTAAATAATAGTCAGATTCTAGATACTGTAAAGGCAGATCTAACAGGATTTATTGACAGGCTGGATATGGATGGGGTTATGAGATAAAGGAGCCAAGGATGACTTCAAGGCTTTTGACCTGAGCAGTTGAAAGGGTAGAGTTGAAATTTACTGAAATGAGGATGACTGTAGAGAAGAGCAAGTTAACAGGGTTGAAAGGTAGTAGTCCAGTCCTGGACATGTTACAAGTTACATGTCTCTTAGACATCCAGGTGGAGCCGTTGAGTGAACAGTTGCTTATATGAGCCCGGAGTTCATGGGCAAGTTCTAGCTGGAGATTATAAATGTGGGAGGTATAAGCGTTCAAGTGGTATTTAAAACCCATCAGTTTGGGTGTGGTCACCAAGGAAGTGTCTGTAGGTAGAGGAAAGGTCTGAGGCTTGAGCTCCACAGCCCTCCAACATTTAGAGTTGGAGAAAATGAGGAGGAACTAGGAAAGGAAACTGAGAAGAAAGATCTAATGAGGTAAGAGAAAAACCAGAAGTGTGGTGTCCCAGAAGTCAACCAAAGGGCCGGCCCCGTGGCTCACTCGGGAGAGTGCGGTGCTGATAACGCCAAGGCCATGGGTTCGGATCCTATATGGGGATGGCCGGTTTGCTCACTGGCTGAGCGTGGTGCTGACAACACCAAGCTGGGGGTTGAGATCCCCTTACCGGTCATCTTTAAAAAAAAAAAAAAAGAAGAAGTCAACCAAAGAAAGTTTTCCCAGAAGGGGGACTGGTCAATTATATCACAGTTTCCAGTTAAGATGAGGACTGAGAATTGACTCTTGGTTGTGGCAACAGAGGTCATTAGTCACTTTGACAAGAATGGTGGTGAAAGCCAGATTCAGAGAAGAATCGAGAGAGTGGGAGATAAGGAATTTGAGACACCAAGTATATATAGCTCTTTTGAGGAATTTTGCTACAAAGGGCAGCAGAAAAATGGAACAGTAGCAGAAGCGGTTATATAGTCAAGATCTATTTCTGTTTAAATTTTAATGGAGAAATTATAACATTTTTGTGTGCTGATAGGAGTAAAAGGAAAGAAAACTACTTTTCCACAGTAGAAAAGGAAAATTGATGATAAAATTATTGCTGTAACAAGTATCCTTGAGTAGGAAGGAGAGTAAGGATGGGATCTAGTGCAGAAGTTAAAAGTACGAGGTAAATATTTATTCATACATTCAAAGATGAACAGGTATTATGTCCCAGTCACTGTGTTCAATGCTGGGAATAAAATAAGGAACAAGACATGGCCTCTCTGCTTGCACAGAAATTTAACCTCTTGCTGATATTACTCCCAGAGGAGGAAATTGAGACTCACTGATTGAGACTTGCCCAAGGTAACTAAAATGTAGATTTGAATCCAACCTAAAAACTTGCCATTTCTCACATTCTCACCACCTTCATCACTATCACCCTACTATGCCAAGCCACCGTCATCTCTTGCCCGGAGTGCCCTGTTAACCTGACTGGTCAGTCTTTCTCTCCATACAACCCATTTTCTACCCAGTTGCCAGAATGTTTATTGTAGAACATAAATTATGCCCAGTCATTTGTCTGTTTAAAACATTCTGACAGCTTTCCAATACATCCACCTGGGATAAAGTGCAAACTCCTAACCATGGTTTCACTTAATCTGGTTTCTCTCTCTACCCACCACTGTCACCGGAATGGACTTTCCATTCTAGTCATTGGGCTATTTGCTGTTCTTCAGATATGTCCAGTGTGCTCTCATCTCACAGCCTTTTGTACTTGTTCCCTCAGCTTGGAATGCTCTTTCCTCAGGTTTTTACTTAATTGTCTCAGATGTCAGCTCAAATTTACCTGCTTAGAGAGACCCTTCTAGTTTAAACACAACTCTGTTACTTATCCCTTCCTCCTGGTGTTTTTGTTCTTATCATTGAATACATCCTGAAGTCATATTGTGTGTGTGTGTCTTTTAATTTTTCTGTCTCTATCGGTAGAATATATGCTTCATGAATGCCTAGACCTTGTCTGTGGGTAGTCACTGTATTTCTAGAATCTAGAAAAATATGGCAATGAGTCCAAGGTATACATGATTACTTGTCTCATGAAAGATTTGAACAAGTTCTGTGAGTAGGGAGGGAGTCTGTATAGGCTAGGCATTATACATTGGGCAACTTCAAACTGATACTTAAAAGATTAATTGGATATGGATGGTAATGGGAGGGATTGAAAATATCTGATGGTTCTATTTATGGAAGTATTTCCTCAGGTGCAAAGGGGGTGGGGAGAAGAGCAGCAGAAAATTATGTTCTCCCAAAGATAAATGGGGAAAATCAGAGGATCCAGTTAACGGGGGGTGGGTTTTAGTCATTTTGATTTTTGGAAAAAGGAAACAATTGTTACAAGCATATCTTCATCATAGGCTGTTTAGAAAATATAATTAAGGAAAAAGTTTAAATAGAACAATTTTTTCATGCATTTATAGCCACTGTTAGCATTATTCCGATATATATTCATCCTTGTCTGTATGTACATTTATAACATCTATCTATATATATATGTAAATATATATATAGATAGATACATAGATTCAAAAACCAAAAAATTGGCAACCCTAGACTTATTGATGATTTGAGATAAAATTAGGATAACCAAGAGGAAATGTTTAAGAGGCAGTTGGAGATACAGAATTAGCTCTTGGGATGTAGATCTGGGAAATGGTTGTATAGTTGTAGATTTTGGTAATGGATGTGATCTTTTTTTTTTTTTTTTTTTTAAAGATGACAAGTAAGGGGATCTCAACCCTTGGCTTGGTATTTTCAGCACCACGCTCAGCCAGTGAGCAAACCGGCCATCCCTATATAGGATCCGAACCCGCGGCCTTGGTGTTATCAGCACCGCACTCTACCGAGTGAGCCACGGGCCGGCCCATGGATGTGATCTTTAAAAGTGAAGAAAATACAATGAAGAATAGGAGATAGAGCCATAACTCTGGGACACACACAGATTATTAGGTGGGTGGAGGAAGCACCATGGAAAGGATATAGGAGCGGTAATTACAGGCACAAAGACCAGGTTAGTGAAGCATTCTGAATACTTAGGGGAAGAGAAATTTGAGAAGGTAGCATCACCAGTATTACTGCTTGTAGAGAACGCAAGGATGAGGGGAACTGAGGTGGGAAAAAGACCTTTGAATTTCATCATTAGAAGTCCATTAATGGGGCTTCTGATCAAGATGGTGGAATAGACGGTCCCCAACGTCACTCTCTCCCACAAATCAAGCAATTTACAAGTATAAAAAAGCAACAGCAGACAAGCTGGGGCCTCTGGAGCTCACGGGAAGAGGAGGAGAGACCTACAGAGTTCATGAAGGTGGGAGAAGCCATGATGAGAGAAAGAAAAAAGCTCCGACCATTTTGTGCCACGGCCACTTTAAGGCTTGAGCTCTGAGTGCACAGAGCAGGAGCCAGCAAAAGCTGCAGCTGTGCTCCTCAGATGGAGTTGCTTGGAGGAGGTGGCAGGGAAGAAGAGGGCCTTGTACTCTTTCAGTAGGAGAGAAGAAATCTAGGGTAATTAGAGGGGGGAGGGAGGGAGGAATGGGGAGAGACTGGATAAGGGGCATAAAGAATAAATATGATTTATAACAATATATATGCTCATAATATTGATTTGATTAACATATTAACATATCTCAACCCCCAAAATATGTATAATCAATTATTATTCAATAAAAATTTTTAAAAGTCCATTAATGATATCTGGGCACACAGTTTGGAGTTAGAGGAAGAAGCCAATTTTAGAGTGTAAAAGAGAGCATAGATGCCGTGTGCTTTTCAGTGAGTTTTGTTGGATAATTCTGCAAGGACATCACTGAAATCACATACACGGTATTTTGTATCTTTAATAGCATTTGTTGGGGGGTTTTTTTGGCAGCTGCCTGGCACGGGGATCCAAACCCTCTTGGATACCTAAAAGGGATGATGCCATAGATGTCTTATTTATACTTCTCTGTAGCTTCAAGTATTAAGCATATAGTAGAGGTATTGAAATAATAACTGCATGAGTGGGGAACAAAACAGATGTAGACCATGTGTTCAAAACATTTAACAGTGAAAGGAAACATATATAATATAGGCTAAAGTGAGGTGGGTTTTATTGTATGTATTTTGTTTCGTTACGATAGGTTTGGATTGTTTGAAGACAGAGGAAGGAACCAGTGGGAAGAGAAGGATGTACTGAGCAAAATAGGAGAGTTGAAGGAATAAAGGTTTGCAATTATTTCCAGAAGAAGGTGGCAAGAAGAAATGGGATTATTTGTTAGGGTTAAGGAGTTAACCTTGGAAGGAAGGTAAAATCTTCTCTCATATTTGATGGAAAGAAGTGAAAGTAGATATTGAGAGAGGTTTTTAAGGTTGAGAAGAAGGAATATGGGGAAACCAATGACTTTCAGATGATCTCCTTGGAATGAGGCTTAGTGAATGAGGACTGGGGACCTTAAGAAGATAGAAGAATTGGAATAGCTGTTGAATGAGAATAATGCTAGGGATCAAATAAACAAGTTTTACCAGATAGCATTGAGGGTGAGTCTGATCATTTTGGAAAGGACTGTCTCAAGAGAGCACAGCTGTTATAGACCTTAACTTCAGAAACTTAATATCCAATAATAAAATTGCCTATGGTTCAGGTCACTATTCAAAATATGAAATATTAATGTAGGTGAGTTTCACCAGAAAATTTCTCTCATGCAAATACTAATTTACTCTTTCAGATTTTGTATGTGGATTGCAAATGTTTTAACATAAAAGATTGTTTTTAATGTTGCTGACATTGCACAAGCTTGAAGAAAATTTTAGTCTGATATCAAATACTGAGAGAGTTTTTCTTTTTATTTTATTGTTATTGTATTAATGATACAATTAAATTGTATTTTAATCCTATATACTATATAAATTTATAATTAAAGATCACAAGTTCTTCAAATGGTGAAGAATTTTTTTTAATACCTTAAAATTTAATATCCTGATAGAGAAAGGGATAGATTTAAGGATGAGTTTCTGAAAAATATTGTGGTTGCTGTTCAAATAGTAAAGATTTTAGAGTTGAGGAGAAAATTTGGGGAAGGCCACATTAATCTTTTATTCAATTATTGTTTTTTTTTAAAATGTAGATATTGTATTAACATGAAGACACATGTATGCCCTTTACTTTGTTTTTATAAGAAAAAGTAATTATAAAAATTCAAAATTTATAATGATAGTACAAATTTTGCACAGTCTTATCAGTTTCCATTTTTCAATATAGAATATTGTTCTTTGTTGATAACCTAACGTTATTATAATAAAAATCAGGGTTAGCTCTGCAAGTCAACAGCAAGATTCAAATTGTCCTCATCCTTCCATAACCATCTTGTGCACCCACACCCTAAAAAAAGAGCAGTTAGACTTTATGGTTCTAAATTTAAATGCTTATGTTGGATTCTAATAAGGAAGTTTTATTTCAGGTCTTTGTAGGTAAAATACCAAGAGATTTGTATGAGGATGAATTGGTGCCCCTTTTTGAGAAGGCTGGTCCCATTTGGGATCTACGTCTTATGATGGATCCACTGTCTGGTCAGAACAGAGGGTATGCTTTTATCACCTTCTGTGGAAAGGAAGCTGCACAGGAGGCTGTTAAACTGGTATGTGATAAACAAATATCCACTGTCTAGCAAGTCACTATTTGAGGAAGTAAACCTCAGTTAAAAAATGTTTGCAGTTAACATTGTCTTTTTTTCTTTAGTCTTTGCTTTGAATGTTTTTACATTGACTGAGTTGGTATGTGCCCTTTGCTTTATTTTTTCTCACTAAAGTAAAAAAGAAATGGAAATACTCAAGAAATAATGTGTTACAGAAAGTTTCCCATGATTCTAAGAAGTTATCCATCAGATTGATTAGTATCAAAAATTTCATTTGAATATTTGGCTTCTGTAGTTCTTTTTTTGGTTTTAGACAAAGAGGATGTCCGTTCTTGATGTTAAACTTTAGGATAGGATTCTTAAAGTATAATGAAGGCTGGGATGGGTTCTGGGGACCATAACAGTAGGTGACAGTGACTTTTAGGACTCAATTCAGGAAATGGTTGTGAATCATTTTATTTTTGTTATTTAGGATAGGATTCTTAAAGTATAATGAAGGCTGGGATGGGTTCTGGGGACCATAACAGTAGATGACAGTGACTTTTAGGACTCAATTCAGGAAATGGTTGTGAATCATTTTATTTTTGTTATTGCCTAATCATACAGTTATTTATTTTCTAAATGTATTCTTGTTATTTTCTATATTTTTCTTTCCAGGCCCTTGAGTCCTCTCTGTCTTTAATCTCTCTCCTTTTCTACTGTTTTATAGCCAATTTTCTAATAATTTCCTTTTTCTAGGATTTTTTTTTTTTTTAACCACTTCGAGCTTATTGCACAGTAACAAAGTTCTGCAAATTAAGTATATCTTCACTTCTACTGTATTAAGGCACACCTAACTCAGTATTTTTTTTTTTTTTGTCTTTTGTCTCCTCTTTCCGTGTCTGGCAACGGATCGCAACCCCCAGTGTTGCCCCCGTACCAGACCGGGGACCGGCAACGGGATCGCAACCCTCGGCGCCGCCCCCGTGCCCCGCTCAGCCAGTGAGCGGGAACCGGTCCGCAT